ATTTAGCTGACTTCAGGCTTCACAGAGAGGAGAAGGAACAGCAAGGTGACAATAAGTCGAGAGAGGGGACAGAATAATGATTGCCAGATGTAAAAGAGACAGACAGACACAAAGGCAGAGAAAAGGTAAGATGAGTACTGTGAAGGGGTCGAATATAGCATACAATGGGGGTAGTTTGAAGTCAGAAGTCAACTGCCGGTTAATAGACTTTTTTGCTGTATGAGTATACGTTGCCCAGAGTGCACCACGTGGAGGTAAGTCTATCGCACACCCATTGCTCAAAAGTCATGTTATACTTTCTTTGCTAACTATCATCACCTGCCTGTTGTTTATAATAATGTCTGGTTTCACGCGCTCGTTTGGTCAGATAGCATGACAGACATTTCTATTATTGCGGTGCACCTTTTGTGGGTAGTTTTATTTTCTGCTGAACAATTTGTCCGGAAAGGAGATAATTCCACTCAATGAATTCTGTCATTGCCTTTAGCCTATCCAGAAGATAACCATTTTTGATATTTCTTACCAATGGTTTCATGCCGCTATCAATCAACTCTCCAGGTTAATGAATATTAAGCACAGGATTTCTTCTGTCTTTTATTTTCACTTTCTGAATTATTCGGTTTGAGCTTGAATTGCTGTAGCTATGCGATTGCACTTCTCTCACAATCAGACCCCGTTTCAAAGAAGTGAATTCATCACGAGATTGATCTGATTGATTTATTTCCTTTGATTGGTCGTGCCATCTTGAAGCTACCGTCTCTTATTACGATGGATTATTAACGATTAGTAGCCTAGGTAAATAAAAATGCTGGAGTCGTTTTTACCAATTATGCCAAAATGAAAAGTTCAGTATATTTGTTCCTAGTTAAAATCAGTGTGTAACTTCTATTGTTTGGATGAAAAAAAGACTGAAGGCTAGCTTTAACTCATTATTTTATCAGCATTTCCCTTTATTATGTCACGTGTATGGTCTTAAATTTGTCAAATTGAATATTTGGTTAGGTGATTGCCATAATTGTTTTAAACATTAAAGAGTCCAATTGACGCCACCTTCTCTCTTTTAGGTAAACGGTGAAGATGTGCAGAACTGCAGCCACGAGGAGGCCATGGAAGTCTTTCAAAACGCGCCCGATCCAATTGTGGTGGAGGTAATGCGCCGACCTCAAGCATCCGATCCCACCTCCTCCAACTCCGCCAAAACCTCAACTGTCTTTCCAACACCTCAAGTTGGTGGAGGTGGAGGACTTCTGCAATGCGGAAGTTCGGCCGAATCCCAAATCAGTAGCTTCCAGAGTGCGACTAAAAGAACAATTGCCGTCCAAACTGTTCTTAGCGCCGGTGAAATGGCGGCTTCATTGGCTCTCGCGGCAGCTTCTTTAGCTCAACAAGAGGCCAGACTAGCTCTTCTGGGGGAAAATGGCCCGTATTGCACGTAAGTATATCGAGGAAAAAAATACGTAGGCCTATTGTGTTTATCGATTTAATCAAAATAATTGATATTTGATTAGGTTCGTAAAATTTGATGTTTCCGATTCAGGCTCTATGGTTTTATTAATTAACTTAATGCTAGAACAATATATCTCATGTTTTTTCTAAGGAAATGAAAAGTGAGGTTTTTTGTCTGATTAGAAATCTACTTCCTCTCCTGCCAACTCACTGTTCACAATATCCTTTGTCAATTTCCCAATAATTGCAATAACTTTCCTTGAAATTTATTAAAAAATTCGATTGAATGGGATTTACGCATGTATTCAAGTGCAATTTTAGAAATTTCTATAATCATCCACCTTCAAAAATTTGAATTCTAGTACTTTTTGTTAGAATAGTCTACAAAATATAAAATATATGTGTTTGGCAGTGGTTTTGACGATCGTCATTTAAACACTTCAATTCTTACTCGGAAGATTTTAAATATCAGCCCTCTACCATCACTAAATTCGAGATGTCACCTTCCACATCTCACTATATGTGCGTTGTATTTTAAATATTAATGCTATTTTAATTATGGCAATTTTATTAAAAAATAGGAAATGATAAACTTTTCATGTCATAATTATCCCAAATCTAGCCTACATAACCACCCAACCATAAATAAACTTCAGAAAAATTCTGTCAAGGCGCTCTTTTTGCCAAATGTCAATCAATGCATACTTAATCAATTTGATGGTGTTTCTTGTAAGACTAATGAATTATCTACCCTCAATTATTAATCTCACAACTTCTTGGTGTCTTGAATGGCAAAGACCTATTATTTCCGGATTTTAAATTTCATTAAAAATGAATGAGTATTCAACAACAGTTGTCAGTGTCAAACCATGAAGAATGATTTCCTCTCACACAAGCATACAATTTAAATTGAAGGCCCAGGGTTCGTAAACTTTCTAAATTAGCCACCGAGTAGTGCTTATTTTGTATAATTGAAAAGGATTCATAAAATGTTTATTATTAAAAAGTATTGTGTTTCCGAAGCATGGTGTAAAATTAGTGATCCTTTGATCCTTGATGTTTAGGCGACTTCGGCAAGTTCCACTCCCTTTAAATTTCACCGATAAGACAGGAATTATTTTTCTTTTGTCAAGGAGTTTAATTTCAGATGAATATCATGACAATCGTTTGGAATTAACATTTGTTTTGATTTGCTTGCCCGGTAGTGTTCTTTGAAGTGCCCTGCCTAACCGACTTTTTGAAATATCTACTGTGTAAGCCTGTAAATAACCATCTTAACTTGGCTGATAAAAGCCAATTTAGTTGGCATATTACATTAGGCCTCTTAACGCACGCGCATGGTTTCCATTGAAACTATGCGCGTACTGTCGTTTGCTCATACTTGGTTAAATATATATATATATATATAT